GAAATTCTGACAACCTCATCAGATGGGGCAATTTGTCTGGAGTACAATGCTTGCTCTCCCCTTTCGCCATGGAGCCCATCACATGACGCACATCTACTTCTGGACCGGGCTCTATGGTGAAAGGGGAGAGCAAATGGCATATACTGCTGCTGCAGTGTCACGATACCAGGGCTCTGCCGTTATTTCCAGCAGAGGTTTTTATTTTTATTTGTCGTGTCAGAGCAACCAGTCCATTATATTACATTTCTAACAGAACAAAGCAAACAAACAGAAAAATACACAACTTGTGAGTTTGGTAGTTAGTTAAATGTCCTTTGACCAGTATCTGGCCACTTGGAGTGCTTCCGGTGTTGCTGCAAGAAGGTCCTCCATTGTGCATGTGGCAGGGCTCAGGTTGCATTGCAGCAGGTGGTCAGTGGTTTGCTCTTCTCCACACTCGCATGTCGAGGATTCCACTTTGGCCCCATTTCTTAAGGTTGGCTCTGCATCTCGTGGTGCCAGAGCGCAGTCTGTTCAGTGCCTTCTAAGTCCTCTGTGTGCTGTGTGCCCACGGGGGAGTCTCTCATTTGGTATCAGCCATTGGTTGAGGTTCTGGGTTTGAGCCTGCCACTTTTGGACTCTCGCTTGCTGAGGTGTTCCAGCGAGTGTCTCTGTAGATCTTAGAAAACTATTTCTTGATTTAAGTCGTTGACGTGCTGGCTGATACCCAAACAAGGAATGAGCTGGAGATGTCTCTGCCTTGGTCCTTTCACTATTGGCTGCAACTTCCCGGCGGATGTCAGGTGGTGCAATACCGGCTAAGCAGTGTAATTTCTCCAGTGGTGTAGGGCGCAGACACCCCGTGATAATGCGGCATGTCTCATTAAGAGCCACATCCACTGTTTTAGTGTGGTGAGATGTGTTCCACACTGGGCATGCATACTCATCAGCAGAGTAGCACAGCGCAAGGGCAGATGTCTTCACTGTATCTGGTTGTGATCCCCAGGTTGTGCCAGTCAGCTTTCGTATGATATTGTTTCTAGGCACCCACTTTTTGCTTGATGTTCAGGCAGTGCTTCTTGTAGGTAAGAGCATGGTCCAGAGTGACTCCCAGGTATTTGGGTGCGCTGCAATGCTCCAGTGGGATTCCTTCCCAGGTGATCCTCAGAGCTCGGGATGCTTGTCTGTTCTTGAGATGAAAGGCACATGTCTGTGTTTTAGATGGATGAGGGATCAGCTGGTTTTCCCTGTAGTAGGCAATAAGAGCACCTAGAGCTTCGGAGAGCTTCTGTTCAACCATCTCAAAGCTCCCTGCTTGAGCAGTAATGGCACGATCATCAGCATAGATGAAACTCTCTGTCCCTTCTGGCAGTGGCTGGTCATTTGTGTAGATGTTGAACATGGATGGAGCAAGCACGCTCCCGAGGCAGGCCATTCTTTTGTTTCCGCCATCTGCTTCTCTGGCCCTGGAACTCAACAAAAAAGCTCCTGTTTTGTAGCAGGTTTCCTATGAGACGGGTGTGGTGTTAGTCCTTTGTGATAGGCTGCTGACAGGTCTATGAAGACAGCTCCTGTGATCTGCTGCCTTTCCGAGATGAAGCAAGCAAACACCCAGAGGTGAAGCAAGCAAACACCCAGTTTGTTGTAAACAGCTTAATTAAATCAGAACTTACTTTCTGGCTGTTTTAATAGTCCAAAATATAAAACATAAAGATTGCACTCAGCCACAGAATATAAAACAAAATCAGCAAACACTGTTGCAGGTTCGAGCTAACTCCGTAGTCAAAAAGTCCAGTCTAGTGGTCAAACGTCAAGAGTTCAATAAACAAAGTCCAGGGATCAAGAGTTTATACCGTAATCAAAAACCAGTCCAAAGGTTCAAGGTTCCAGGATCCCAAAGTTTCAGGAGACAGGTCAGGACACTGAAAATCCACAAACCTGGGGAAAACAAGCAGCATCTACCACCAAGATGCAACAAATACAAGCCAGTTCCAAGGCTTGCTCCTTATATTCTGAAACACCCAGTTGCAAACCTATATCTTGCATACCTCCACCCTTAATTGCTTTCACCCACAAACTCTTACTTACAGAGTACGAAACCCTTTAGATTACAGTGGTTCTCAACCTGGGGTCCCCAGATGTTTTTGGCCTACAACTCCCAGAAATCCTAACAGCTGGTAAAATAGCTGGGATTTCTGGGAGTTGTAAGCCAAAAACATCTGGGGATCCCAGGTTGAGAACCATTGCTTTATAACTAATACTTACATTAACCCTTCCATCACCAACCACCATCAATTGCAGAACATATTACATGACACATGGCCACACAGAAAGCTGTCCATATTGTCTTTGAAGCAATGGAGAGGAACCGGGCAATGGACACGTCCCTCCATGGGATGAAGCCAGCTGTAAATGTGAGGCATGAGGCAATGGGTCCTCCATGCCCACCTCTGCCACCTCATGGATTTACCACAATGTGTGGCTAATCCATATGCCAATGTGATAAGGTCTCTAGAGAGAACACTTTACTAGGAATTTGTAGGTCCTCCAGTACAATTCTATTGTCAACTTCCATCGGACTCCTGGTGGAGGACCAAAATATTCCTAGAGAGAGGTTCGCTTAGGTAAAATAAGGTTGAAAAAGTGTTCACTCAGGCAAAAAAAAAAATAATACTTCATTCTTGGGTTTCCCCTTTCTTGGGACGCTCCTTACCCCACCAAATGTGGAGGTCTGACTGTACTTTCACTGGACAAAACTGCATCTGTTTACCACATTCAGAGGCGGCCTAGGTAATTTTCAATGGTAAGCAAACAGTATTTTGGTGCCCCCCCCCCCAACCAATCACTGATATATATTTTCTGTTCGTCGTGGGAGTTCTGTGTGCCATATTTGGTTCAATTCCATCATTGGTGGAGTTCAGAATGCTCTTTGATTGTAGGTGAACTATACATCCAGTAACTACAACTCGCATACGTCAAGGTCTATTTTCCCCCAAGAGCGCCTCAAGAGCGCCCCTGGGCAAAATCAACTATACTGCAAATACTTACTTTGCGTAATGAGTTGAGCCGCCCCTGACCACATTCAGTATGTGTATACTCACTCCATGGAAGTGAAGTGAGCAAATGGTGAGAGGGAATATTTGAAATACCACTTTCAGAAAGCAAATTGCCTTGTGACAATACATTATCTTAATACTAAACAGAAATTAAGATACATGTTAAAAAAAAATTAGGCACTGGCTATTATAGAACATCTCTCTCCTCTCACCTCTCAAACTCTCTTTCCTTCTGTATTCTTGGCATTTGGAAGATATTGATTCAAAAAAATTAATTTTTAACTATGCAAAATATTAAATGCATATGTATTTTAACTGTGTTGTGCCTCACCTCAAGAGGTGAGGAGAGACAGGTAACAGATCATTGTTGTTGTCGTTTGTTACTTGTCTGAACGGATCCACCCTTACGTCCCACCTCGTAATCTAAGATCATGCAGGGAGGCCCTGCTCTCGCTCCTGTCAACAGCACAGATGCGCCTGGCAGGGAAGAGAGACAGGGCCTTCTCGGCTGTGGCCACCAGCCTATGGAACACACTCCCAAATGAGGTAAGATCCACTCCCTCCCTCCTGGCTTTTAGAAAAAAATTAAAATTATGGTTTTGGGACCAGACCTTTGGGCAGTAGTAGTAAATGTATGCAGCATTTCGGAAAGACAATGACTAGAACGGCGATTCAACGGATGAGACTGTTTTATTGTTTTAATGATTGTTTAATTGCTTATGGATGTATTGTTTTAACTTGATTTATGTCTAATTGTAGTGTATAATTATAATTGTTTGTACTGGCGTTGAATTTCGCCATTACTTATGTGTAAACCGCTTTGAGTCCCCTCGGGGTGAGAAAAGCGGTGTACAAATACTGTAAATAATAATAATAATAATAATAATAATAATAATAATAATAATGATGATGATGATGATGATGATAATAATAATTGTCCCCCTGACAATCCAAATATTTGTTTCCACAGTTCAATAATTACTTCATCCATTCTGCAGGCAAGTGTAGCGAAATTGCTACTCTATGTTAAATTTTTGGTGTATAGCTCTATGTTTATGTATGGCAGATAGGGAAGAATAGGCACAGACAGGGAAGCAACAGCAGAGATAGGATTCATTTGCATATGGAAGCCGATTGGTCATATGCAGATTAGCGTAGACCCAGGATTTGAACAGGTTGCTAGGCCAAAATGACAGTTGGAGAAAGAGCAGAGCTAAACATTCCAAAGGGGCAGAGCCAAGGTTTTAAAAATAGGCAGTTAGAGAGACAAAAGAGTTAGTGAGGAATTGCTGTTTGTGAAGAGAGTTAGGGATTCCTGTTTGTGAGAGACAGTTAGGTATTTCTGTGAGAGAAAAGAGTTAGGAACTCCTGTTAGAAATAAGCAGTTATGAAGATGTGTTAAAGACTTCTGATATATAGAAGCAGTTAGTTAAATAGAGCTAAAGTTTAAGGAACATACAGAAAGCCAGTGGTGCTTTAATCAGAATATAATTTCAGTCAAGAGTGTGTAAAGCAAGTAACATGTTTGTGCATGTGAAACATGGAAAGTCTATTTCAGAAAAGTAAACCAAGTATATTATACTGACTGTAAGCCTCAAGATTGCAACAAAACACAAAAGTAACCACAAGCGTTTGGAGCCAGAAGTTATAAATAAACTGTGTTACTTTGTTATACAGAAGTGTGTGTCTCAGTGCCTGTACAAAGGTTAAACAGAACACAGAAAGTCCCAGCTAATATAAAAGAAGAAACTGAATCAGTATAAGAGCAAAAAGGTTTTTTAATAAAGAAATAGTTCTCTCTCTCCCTCGCTACAGCAAGTATATTGAATTTTATACCATGGCAACTGGAAGGACTTAGTTTTTTTGGTAGTTCTACTCTTAGGTATACAATGTTTGCATCAAAGAGATTTCTTTCCTTTTCTTCTTCAATGCCAATCACATTGTTCCTTCTTTCCTTCCATCCAGTTGAAAACTGATGTGGCCTCCAATGTCTTCACCTCGATTGGCTCTGTAACACTGGCCTTGTTACTCATCTTCCTTCTGGTAGGCACAGTTTCCATCATAACCGCTAATAAACGGGCTACTCAAGGAACCTACAGCCCCAGCCGCCAGGAGAAAGAAGGATCCAGAGTTGAAATGTGGGACATCGTTCAACCTCCTCCCATGGAGAGACTGATCTAGCTAGAAATATTGCCATGTCCTCTTTTCAGGAAACAGCTAGCAGGAAAGGCTGTTCTGATCTCTCTGGAGGAAGTCTGCTTCTTAACTCAGAAACATTGGACAGTAACCTAAGCACCATCTGCACTATCTTTCATGGAGGTTCTTAAACTTCTGTTTCCCAGGAGAAGCTCCCTGTGTCTCATCATTCTTAAGAGATGAGAGCAGTTGATGCTTGGAAGGAAAAATCAGAAACTCTGAAAAAATGAAAGCATGGGAACATCATATGGGAATGAACTGACATCTCCAGATCATGGTTGAACCAAATGGATGCCACTTCTTCGGAAACTCTTATTTATTGCACTGAAAGCCTTGACTTTTGCATAATCAACTGTAGACAATGAATAATCAACTGTAGACAATGGGATATGTGTTAAGTGCCTGCATTTTAGATACAACCAAATCTACCACATTAGTTTCTGATTCCTCGTTGCCTGCCACTTTAGCATTCTGTGTCCCTGCAGAAGACACTGTATGATCCATCTGTGATTCAACCATCACTTTATCTCAAGAAGCTTTAGAAGTAGAGGTCTTTCTCAGCAGTATATCGATTTTATTTCCTGAATAAGGGACTAAATGAATTGTTGTTGTTGTTGTTCATTCGTTCAGTTGTTTCCGACTCTTCGTGACTTCATGAACAAGCCCACGCCAGAGCTCCCTGTTGGTTAGCACCACCCCCAGCTCCTTCAAGGTCAATCTAGTCACTTCAAGAATACCATCCATCTTGCCCTTGGTCGACCTCTCTTCCTTTTTCCTTCCATTTTCCCCAGCATCATTGTCTTCTCTAAGCTTTTCTTTCTTCTCATGATGTGGCCAAAGTACTTCATCTTGGCCTCTAAATGAATACTAAATGAATACCATAAGGCAAAATAAATATTTCAGACTGTCCGCTCTTTGTCACATTCATTTAACCGTCTATTCCACTGTCTTGTTCTAGAGTACAACTGGGAATTGTGATGCCCTCCAAAACTGGGTTGTTGAATTGTGGCTCTTTCCCCAAGTCCAGTGATGGGCAACCTTTTGA